AATATTAACCCTTTGGAGTCAACCGTCACGCCGGCGTGATCAGATCACATGACCTGTGCCGCATAATAACAACAGTCCGGACAACATTGCCGTGTGTTTCTGTCGAAAGTACTGGCTTGAAACTATATCCCAGTCTTTGTTTCATGCAAAAAGACCCAGTAAACACGGAGAGACGATGATATAAAGTTAATACATTTCAAAAGTATGAAAAATGGAAGCACATATTTGAATATATTCGCCGCATTTGATCATTTTACGAAACGGAAAATACTGGAAACTGTAGATCCTGCTCAACAGGATGTATATGTGTATTTCTGTCCAAAGTACTGGCTTGAAACTATATGCCAGTCTTTGTTTCATGCAAAAAGACCCAATAAACAGACACAAATAAACACGGACATACGATGATATAAAGTTAATACAGATATATTTCAGAAGTATGAATAATGGAAGCACATATTTTAATATCTTCGCCGTATTTGATAATTTTACGAAACGGAAAATACTGGAAACTGTAGATTCTGCTCAACAGGATGTATTTACCAGGGAGGGGGTGAGGTAATCAGGTAAACGGAGTGATACGAAACGAGACGAAAAGAGACGGCGGGAACCGAAGAGAGACGGCGGGAAATGAGAGAGACGAAGATATACGAAGACAGGCGGCGGGAGACGAAGAGAGACGGCGGGAGACTGCGATTGAAGCAAAGTGACAGACAAACATTGAGAATTTAGATATAGTTAGATAGATTTAGAGTTTTGAAGATTCAACTATGATGAAGAGAACTCTGAACGTGAGTCAAGCTTTAAGCTTGTTTTTTTAAATGGAGGAGGAGGAACCTGTGATGTTGCCCTCTGTGTCGTATTGACAGAAACCGCTTTGAAGCGTGGCACAGATAAAGACAGAAAAAACGGATTTTTGTACATAATGTGTATATATATATATTTGTATTATATTTATAATAACACTTTTGCCTTATCAGAATGAAATCCCATGCTACCTCAATCAAACTTTCACATTATCATAGTGACATCCATTTCCAGCTTTTAAATGGTTTCGTTGTGTATGTTTGTGTTACCTATGAAAAATAATATAATTTTCAAAATCTGTTTTTACGTTTTTTTTGTGTGATTTTGGGTCCAAAATGTTCATATAGTAGAAGATCACTGCTCTAAACAAAGTCAAAAATCCTACATCCAAACGAAATAAATATAATTAATTATGATGAATACGTTAAGTCTTGTTCATTGTTTTTCACTTTTATTAAATGTTTGATATTTCCGGTGGAAATGGTGGACTATCGGACATTCAAAATGCAGCATATTTTCACTCTTACACACATATATTCTCCTTTTACATACATACATCTTCACTCTACACACATATATTCTCCTTTTACATACATACATTTTCACTCTCACACACATATATTCTCCTTTTACATACATACATTTTCACTCTCACACACATATATTCTCCTTTTACATACATACATTTTCACTCTCACACACTACTCACACATTCATACATTTTGCTCTCATATTATCATATTTCAATGCACACATTCATATATTGTCACTCACACATTCATATATTGTCACTCACACATTCATATTCATATAATTTAATGCTCATATTTATACATTTTGCTCTCATGCGAAATGTACTAAAACAAAGTATGTCATGGTAGTGGTCAGCTGTTAAACACAAAAGTGTATCTTAAGGGCTGTAAATATAATAAGCCTGTTGTCAATTTTAGACACAGGCTTATTATATTTACAGCCCTTAATAACATTCATTTTCTGGACTCAATGTGTGTCTTGGCCGTTTTCTTTGTTCCAAGCAAACGAGTGCTTTTTGTTTTGAAATCACTTCCGCGAGTTTCGCGGGCCTCCCCCCTCGCTCCACTGACCATTAGACCATTTAGTAAGGTAACAAGCAAAAGGGCAAAAACGCCTCTCAGACGCTCTTCCGTTTACTTTTTTAATAAAGAAAAACAAATGGTCCGTAGATACACAGACTCATATAGCCTATGTATGTATACTGTAAGGAGAATGTATGTGCGTGAGAGGACCAGTAGGAATTACGGCATATAAATATGCAAACACAAACCTACAGACTGGGGGATGGGAGATAACAGGAGTGGGGGGGGGGGAGAGCTGTGGAATGTGACCCTTGGGAGAATTCCTCCACACATTCCGATGGCCAATTCGTTTTAAACAAAGAGTTCGCAACACAGGACAGCATGGGCAACATGGGGGGTGGGGGCTGGTGAACGGTCTGGTCAATGTTTGTAAACACAATCCCCAGGATGTGTCCTAATCAGGAGCCGGGTAAATGAGAGACTGAGGAGCCCCCGAAAAACAGATCCCGAAATAGCTCGTCCTCGTTTCCGCAGCAGATAGGCCTACAGTATGGTGTCTGTGTTATGTCAGTCATTTTAAATAAAACGTTGAAAACTGAACATGAAAATGGTTTCCTCTTTTTATTTTATTTATCATTTTCGGGACGGGGAGACGTGTGTGATTAAAAATTAATTTGCAGAAATGTAAAGTGATCTAACTAAGTTCTATTCATATTCTTGACGGGAAGAGCAGTGTAAATGGCTGGCCATATGCATTTGAAAAGCAATATAAATCACACAGTTATTATACAATAGGCTATAAAAGCACCATCGATAACCATTACCTTTATCCAATTCAAACTTTGGACGGGAAAAAAGGAAGGTGTACATGGTTGGGCTATACTGTAGGCCCAGGAGCGCCGGGTGCTGGAGGCTAGGGAAGGCTAAGCCTTCCCAAATATGTGTGTAACTGCATCCTGGTAAAATAAAAATATAATGTCTTTGACATTAGCGCTGCTATGCAGCCACCTGTGCCCTGTACCACAAAGCCAGTTCAACAGACCCTGGATATGCTTGAGTTATCTTAACTAACCCTAACACACGCGATCTCGCTAAACGGTCCTACGGCGCTGGTTATCAACTCGGTAAATCAAGCCAGGGTTTCTCTCTCCAGCTGAGAACGCGTTCACGTGAAAGGGGCGGGGTTAGCTACATTTGACCAATCACAAACAGGGACAAGTGTACTGACAGCGCAACATCATACTTCATTAATGAAAAGTAAACTAATATTAGACAAATATGAACTTTAAACATCCATGATGACTTAAACATATAATCCAGGATACAAGCCACATAGTTGCACCTGCAAGGAGAATACAGAACAACTCGTTAAAAAATAAACTACCGAGTGTTTGAAAGCGTACAACAGTTTTATTATACTGCCCCATCTAAAACACGAGGGGATCTGACTTTATTACATTTGAGTTGAGTGTTTCGTCAACTTAATGTGTTGCTTAAAATAATACGTCTGCATACAGTATATGTGACAATGTAACTAAGTGTTGCACGGCCAGATACGGCTCGAGAAGCTGACTCAGATAAGGAAATATTGTGATATCGATGTGAGATCGATGATCTGATTGATGATGTGATGTCAGTGTGATATGAATGATAAGTGCGACACGTCGGCGTCTTCTCTGCATACGGCAGTTTAAACTGCATTTCCTTTTTCCTGTAATATGACTTGATAGATTTAAACTCCGCACACTGAGCTCTGATCGGTCAGCAGATGGTGCTTTCACTAAGTTGATCTCTTTTCTATAGACACCGGAGGCGGGCAGCGTAAGATGAACAAAAAAGTTATTTAGCCTTCCCAAAGCTGAGCCTCACGCGCCGCCTATGTGTAGGCCTACTGTATACATACAAAGGCCATTCAAGCTAGAGTTCTTCTGGAAATGTTCACATCAGGCACCTTCAAGTTAAATAATACTAAACAATTAACACAGTAGGCCTAAATTATGTGGATTAAACCACATTTATTTCGTTAAAAATAAACAAAATATGATTTAGTTTGAATGATTAAATGTCATTAGGCACCTTCAAGTTAAACAATCAGGTGCACACTTTAATGTGCCGCCACCTCCGGACTCGGCTTGACTCGGTTTAAAGAATGCACAAATGTGTTTAATCGTTTATGTCAGATATGTACTAAGTAGCCTAAATACATTTGTTCCTGCTCAAGATTAGATTAAACTTTATTGTTATTGCACATATTGCAGGTACTGAGACAACGAAATGCAGTTTAGCTTCTAACCAGGTGCAACAAGCAGCGAAAAGTAATGTGCACAATACTACAGTAAACAATTAACACAGTAAATTATGTGGATTAAACCACATTTATTTCGTTAAAAAGAAACGAAATATGATTTTGTATGAATGATTAAATATGAAGCCGATACAATAAATCAAAATCCAGTAGACTACCATTCCGAAATCCCCAGTAATATTAGACACTAATAATACAGTAAACTATTAACACTGTACATATTATTGTTTGCCCGTGGGATTAGGATGATCGGTAGTGAGACCCGTGCTGCATTTTCCTCCGGTCGGATGTGATATAAAAACAAAGCGATTATTTTTGTTGTTGTAAACTCACGTGGATTACATTTAGTGCATTCATTTCAACTCGCGAACATATGTACATTAAATGATCGTGAGGATGATGATTGAAAATCGTTTGTTTGAGCCTGGATGCATTTCCTGATCTAAAAACATAGCGATGGTTTTGTACTTACGCCAACGTGAATTAAACATTATTTTGTTAAATAAAAACATGGAGATGTTTAGTAAATAATTACATGTCTCTTATTTAGCACAGAATATGATCCTATCCGTGACATATGGATCTTAACAAATATCCGCTATATCAGATACCTGTAGATCAGCTGTTTATTTCACATGAGTTCCAGTGTGGCAGCTTTTTAATCACGGCTCCCCCTGGTGGATCCATGATCCATTGCAGCTGGTTTCATTATAATTAAATGTATTTATCAAGGGGGCGTTTCAAATCCTGCGGGGGGGTTTTCCTTTTCAGCAGGGGCCCACCCAGTGCCGATCACGGACCCGCACGGGTAGGCGTCTGAAATGGAGCGCTACATCTGTATGGTTCTGTACAGCTCAATTTTCCGCTGTTTGATTTTGAGGGCGAGGCCCTCCATGACCCGCTGCAGCCCCTGTTGATCCTGGCAGTTGGTGGATTTTGGACCTTAATGTAAACATTTAATTGTCAATTAACACAATTTCCTTAAATGTAAAATGTCAACAAACAGTTGACAGTTAATATTTTGTAGCTACAGGAAAAATCTTACTTGATGCAGCCCACTCCTCAACCTCCTTCACCCACTGCTTCATTCCCTCCTCTGTTGTCTGCAGTTTTGTTTGCAGGTTTTGAATGTCCTTGTCCATTTCATCAGTCCTTTTCTTGGTCTGAAAATGTTATACATTACATTTGTATCATTGTCAGAAAACAACACCTACCACTAGTGTTTTCTTTGTCACTAAAGTAGGCTGTTCAATTTGAGTTGTTATAGTAGCAGTTAGAAGTTTCAGCATCAATTAAAAGTTAACAGATACTTTAGGTCATCAATGAACACATTCACAGGACTTAACGAGGACATCAAAGCATCAAAAATAGTTTGACCAACATCAGTGCATGACCGTCAAAACATTTTCACTAAGCTGTTGTCGAGCAACCGAATATATTTAGTCTATGTTTAAGAAAAGAGTTGCAGCCAAAACGTATGCACATTGTTGTATTGTATATTGGGAAAAAAGCTATTAAATTACATGATACATTTACCTTCACATATCGTTGAGACTGGTATCTGTGCAAGTTCTGCTTCTTCCTCAAGTTCCATCCACGAGCATGTATCGTTATCATGTCAGTACGTCCTGAAACATATTGTTTTACTTTTTAGAATTGTACTTGAGCCACAATAAGATGTTAAAACAACTTTGGACATGTATTTTGTGGTCGTTGCCACACGAGAGAGGTATGAATTGACAGCCTCCACTTCCTCTCCAACTGTCAAACCTAGAGCAATTTGAAACAGACACTTACTTTTTTTTTTGTATTACCGAAAGAATATCATTGTAACATACCTGCCCCTTCCTGGTTGCGACCACTCCACTCCACCTGAGAATAACCAACAATAAATTGAATTATGTCAGTTTAGACATTAAAATACCCTATTAACCAAAAACATTACATTTACATTTATACCTCGTATTTTGTCGAGTGACCTTTCGCATGCATCACTGACAGAAATGGCCGCATTTGCAGGACATACTGCAGTTCTGGAAAGGACTCAACTACCCTCTGTATATATGGGTAGTATTTACACATGACGTCAGTGCAAACAAACTCAATCTTGTGTTCTTTTCCAAGATCTTGCTGTAGGTAGAGAGGGTAGGCAAAGATTTCCCCACGAAACATGTTGAGGCCTGCAACCAAAACAAAGATAGATTTCTTTGAAAAGGGTTTATTTCATTACTATATTAATGGATATTCTAAAAATACAAAGATAAGTTATTACTGTCATGAAAGTGCATACTTACTTGTGAATCATAACTGGTATTCAAATATTTAAAGACCATTTTAGTATGGCATTTTTGTAAGTACAACAAATATGTAAATGGATTTTCAATTAAAATACATTATTTTACCACTAAATAGAATGCAGTGTCTGCAGACAGATGTCATCATTCCCTCTTCATCCAGTCTGGCCTCTGACTTTCTGGTAGCCTCCCTGCCCGCTTTGAAGTTGGATTTACCGCAGGATGGGCGTCCAGGTGCCTATTGAAAAAAGCATTACAATACACATTCCAAGTAATTACATCTCATGCATTTTAGATCATACAAAACAACAATAACTTTAGCACATAGAACATGCTATGAGACAAGTCACAGTAAAACTCACAGGTTTTACTTTGTCTCGAATCCTTTGCACAAATCCTTCAACATCTGTGTCTTTGGCAATGAAAGTTCCTTCAAAGTATGGGCATTCGACCGCCCTATGAAGAAAAAAGCATTTGATTGGGGAATATAGTATATAAAGATAATAGCCCATTTTGCTTTCTTGCTACTTACCCCTGACGATTGAAGCGATACATTTGTCTGTTGCCGTCCAGAGACACTGCGACCATGTCATCACCACAGGCAGGACATGAGAAATGGTCATCTCCAAGAAGTTTATCAATTTCGTGCCGGCAATATGTCCATTCCAAGAAACTTCTTTGGAAATTGTCACCAGATGTTATCCAAGCCTAATAAGTAGGAATTCATAATTAAATGCTAGATACATGTCAACATGCAAATACTATAAAGCATGGATTAAGTATAATATCTCTTTATCTTTCCTCCAAGTCCTTTTGCAAATTATTGCACAAATTCACTTTATCTGCCAAATCTAAAATACAATACACAACTTGTATAATGTATCAAAATGTGCATTACCCTGCCAGCACGAACTGAGCGACTTTCCAGCATTCGAATGAAAGCGTGTCTACTCAGACCAGGTGCACTGATTTTGAGATCTTCATATGTGGCAAAAAGATCGATGGAAAAAACTGTTTGGAATTCAATTGTTCCAGGCCAGTATCCATTTGAGATCAAATCTTTGATCTGTGGTGTCCACTGGCAGTGGCAGTTCTCACAGGTCAGCAGAGGAACAGAGAGGTCATAACGACCTGTTGGGACAAGCACCAAGTCAAATCAAAGTCACAATAAAGGTAAGAAAATGTATTTGTACTTTTACAAATGTTCAAAGATATGTTACCATTTATGTTGATGAAGATTACTTTTTGCCCACCACTCAATGACACATTGTCTGCATTGCAGCTGCAAATCATTCTGGGCAAAGCAAATGGCAGGAGACGAACTATGTAAAACATAAAGGGATAATGGTTACTTCTACTGGGCAAGTACAGGTATATCATACATTATGATGGGATTGAAAAGTCATTTTAGTCAAAAAGGTCGATACAGTATATACCTTCTTCACACGGTGATGGCTGACCACTAGCATCTTCAGTGATAATATCAGTAGGAGGAAGAGCTTTGTAACTATCTCCTACAAATAGGCATCTGTTATGCAAACTGTACTTCCGATGTACAGTTATGTCACATTTGGGGCACAACAAGGGTTGTGGAAGGCAGTCTGTGCAACAAATGACTGCATCTTTAGCTTTGCACAGTTGACAAAGACCCTTCGGGATCTTTCCTGCCTCAAGCATGGCTTCAAGAAGCTGAGGTCTTGCTTTCCGCCATCTTTCATCAGATAAAGCCTGACGTACTGTCCATGTTCGACCAGATGAGGCTTCTGTGGAATTTGAACATCCGGCAACATCCTCCTCAACTGCATCAACCATCTTTTGCAGTTCCTGTATATGAAGGTCTTGGGAAATGAGGATAACAGGTGTAAGCAAGACAGAATAGATGGTAAAGAAAGCCTCAAGAGTCAGAAAACAACTTAAAATTTCAGGTGGTTATTAAAATTGATTGTGTTTACATGGGCATGAATAACCCGTTTATAATAGGGTTATTAGAGTATGCTGTTTATGTGTTTGCACATGTGAACACAATATTGCCTCATAAATGTGTTATTCATGTCCATGTAAACAAACTAATTGAGTGAGATTAAAAACTGTAATGTCATGTTCACCAAATTATTTTTAAGGAACAATACAATTGCTCAAAATTAAGTTTTATGAATGTACTTGCAAAATGTCTTGCAGAAATATATTATTGTTCAATTTATGAAATTATAATTAAACTAAATATATTGTGATGTACACTGAAGTGAGTAAGTATGAGTTTATTAAATGGATACAATTATCTAAATAAAAGTAACGGAAATGGTGGCATAACTATTTTGATATAGAATCTTACCAATCATATTGTGGGTCTGTTGCACCTCAGAGGTGACTGTGCCTGCATATCAAAACATAGAGGGAATTCATCATTACTACATTTGACTTAAACTGTGACCGTTGACTCAATATTGCATCCCTATTTTCCATGTTCATTTAGCACTATACGAATAATTTTCATTGCAATACATGTAGTACTTAATTTAAAATCATATTACTCTCAAAGTGACACATGTGCCAGGTACATACGGCCCCATACTCACATGCAAAACACCTAAAAAAAAGGACAAACTGTAGCAAAATGTTGACACTGATAAAAGAGCTTACCTTCTGTCCTGTCTGCAACATATTCTGCAGAAATATTTGGTAACTGCAACTGACCAGTTCTCTTCTGACGTTTGGCGTGCACTAGGAAGACAAGAATAGTAATTAAAGAATTACATTTTCAAAAAAGAAACAACAGAAAAACACAGATGCAACAGTATGATCTGGCTTAACATACGTTTTGAAGAACTGCGACTCTTTAGAATCAGCCGCCCAAATTGGTCTCTTTTTCTCCATTTTACTGCAGGCTGACGGTCCTATTTAGCATGGTAATACAAAGAAGAGAGTTAAAGAGAAGTATCCATACATTTAAATGGAACATTAAACTGTGCTGAATACTGAAACTAAGTTAATTATTTCGTCATTATATAGACCATTACGTAGAGATGTCCATGGACATAGTATACTATTTTCCCTTTAGATTAAACTTTTTTGTTTCCTGTATCCAACACAAATACAGTTGGAATATACAACTGTATTGGTGAAATTAATAGGATGTTTGCAGACGTGAATAGGTTTACTTTTGGCATTTGTTAATCTCTATTAGACAAAGTGGACATTTGTAGTAGATGTTTTTGGACAAAGATTGTTGGAAAGTTACAAGTTACGGCATGTGTATACTGTACTGTGTGTGTGCAGGGGTTACAATAAAAGCTAGTTAGAGCAGTACTGTACATTCAGACATTACACAACGGATTTAAAAGCATTGATTAAAACATTATTGATGACATATTACATAAAGTACCTGCTGCATAAACCCAAGAATGTATCTTATAAACAATCAATTCAAGGATTACTTAACCTCTTTAGCTTGTAGTTTTTCACCCAGTTTAGCTTCAACTTTGTCGATTTCTTCCTTGTCTTCATCAGTATCATATTCATCCCAGTTTAGAGAGGTCCTTCGAGCTGCCTGTCGCCCAGCCATGGTTTCGTTGAGGAAGACACAAATCAAGCTTGGTCTGTGGTATCTGTTGGTAGCACAAACAGAAACTGCATTTCAAACAATTGTATTATTAGTATGTTTGTACAAAGTAAAACAAAACAAAAAAGAGAAATCTAACGGTAAAAATATTATGTTTCCTTTCTCTTTTCGTTAACTTTACCTTGAACAATATAACAGGTAGGTTAGCTTCAAAGACAACACATTTAATGCTGATTACACCGTCCTTTAACGTTGGTTTGAATGACAGAATTGTTAACATACATACTTACTTCTGATAAAGACAGTTCGGAATGTATCTAAGAAGATAAACCGCTAAAATATTGCTTCTACAGTCCGATTCACCTCCAACGGGGCGGGAACCTTCAGGATGAGGAAATACGTAACGTCACGCGTGTATAACGTAGTAACCATAGAAATCCGACATACGTACACTTCTGATAAGTAATAATAAAACTATGGATTGTTTTCCCCCTGAAACCTCTGACTAAATATGTTTATTTTCTGGGCATATGTAGCCCAGTTTTCTCACACATAATTTGCATAGAATTGTCTTTTAACCCTTTGATACACAACATGGGTCAAAAGTGATCCGAGTGAGTTTTAATTGTAATTATCTTTACAACAAATTACTTTGATATCTTGTGAAATATAACAGTAGGCCTACATAAAATGTGAACATTACTTGACCATGTCATCCATTACTAGTAGTGAGGGAGATACTTCATGTCTATGTCGAAATCAACCCGGCATCACGGCAAGAAGTGAACATGTGACGATTTACCATGCTGTCACGATTTCGTCCCTTCAAAAGTGACAGTTACACGGTATTGTTAACCCATGTTAACCAGTGGAGAAATACCCGGAAATGCTACCCCGACGGTCGGTTGTTATTGTCAATATTTAGATAATAATGATTTATTTTGTAATAGTCACACTCGACTACGCCGATTATCTTATTGCCCCAGCTGGTCGACACCTCTTTTAGCAGAAACAAAGGCTACCTACATCAATGTATTACATCGATGTTAATCCATGCGTGTTGGGTGTGGATGTGGAATTAACGGACGTGACATTGTGAGATTGCGTTGCCAGGCAACAGCTTCGGTTCATGTTAATTTATAACCGTAGTTATATTTAAAAACATGTTATATTAGAAGGCCTCACAAAATAGTTTAATGTAAATGTGAAGGAATGTGTGTATAACAAAATACATCCGTCATTAACAATACCGGAAACAGATTTAGGCCTACGCAAGATCCTCAGCTCGATGATTGTATGGTTTAGCCGCAATGCACGCTGGGATTTGGTGTTTATACGATGTGAAATCCAAAAACATTTAAAAAAAATAAAATAATACTTTATTCCGAGTGTGCTTGCTTTTCTCCTTGAAATTCATCACACAACGGCATTGTAATACACGGTTCGGCTGCATTAAATATTACATATCTGCCGTAGTTCTCTATTTATAGAGCCCTGATGAGAACACTTAGACAAACAGGAACAATTGCCGCCAAAACTGAAAACGTGACGTGGATCATAAATATATAAGCAATTAAACAACATCTTACATTTCTTTTCACACAATACGTCTCCTTGCAGTATCAACACTAATTTGGCTGACTTTTATATTTGATCCAATTGGTAAATAGGCTGTATTTACACCATAACGGTGCACAGCTGATATAAAGGGACACCTGGTGGTTAAAGCATGTTATTTAATTTTATTATTTTATTATTAGATATTAATAGGATCCCTATAAAATATATTCATTACTCGTTATTCTCTACTAATAGTTAGTTAAAGACTGTATATAATGACTATTTTGCACATCCCTTTCAAGATTTTCTAAGGTTTATTGACATATCACAACTACAGTGCAGAATGAAAAACTTGCAGGTTCCTCAACAGTCCACAAGACATCTATCAATATGTGTGTATACCTCCACCATTAAACTGTCATATTCTGCACATTTCTTATACTATCTACATACATCTGTATAATATCAGTTAAAATAAGTGCTTCAACATAGTTAACATTGCAGGAAAGCAATATATTAGACGTTAAGTACTTTGTCAGGCTTAATATTTATCTGTAGATACAAATGTCACTGTGTGTGCTGTGTGCTCTGTGTGACCATTAAAGAGGGATTCATCCCTCCATATTATTCTTCTATACCCCCAAAGCTTTTTTCTTATTCAAAAGAAGACCTTGACCTAAAGTATTCTTTAATGTTTAAATTAAGCCTTATTAGTTTGTCTGTTTTGCACATCCTCATATTAATATCTATCAGACCCCGGGATCATACTTCCACACACGTGCCCTGGAGGCGTTACGTCACATTGACCGCTTCTTGACCTTCACCAAAGTTCATTATCAAGTGAGGAGAGACTGGTCTCTTTCCTAGTTGTAACCTTGCATCTCATTAGCTTCAGGCAATGTGAAAAATAATTAACCTTAACCTAAAAGTGGCATTTTCGTTCAACCTGACACACACACACATAGCCTACTGTACACAGAGTAGAGAGAGAGAGAGAGAGAGAGAGAGAGAGAGAGAGAGAGAGAGAGAGAGAGAGAGAGAGAGAGAGAGAGAGAGAGAGATAGAGAGATAGAGAGAGAGAGAGAGAGAGAGAGGAGAGAGAGAGAGGAGAGAGAGAGATAGAGAGAGAGAGAGAGAGCTCCATATACAGACATGCCTTACAGTAACAGCAGAGTCCACTACTCTCCTCCACATGAGGTTACATTACATTACATTAGTTACACACTCATTCAGATTGAAACACTGTTCTGAGTCAGTGTCCACACCCTAACATTACACTATATTATTATTATACTGTATTATACCAAGTATTATACTGAAAATTTCTTCAAGAAAAGTTCTACTCATCTGCACTGAGATGCAATTGGCGCAATCAGTTTTCTTTCCTTTTATTCAATCATTTTATACATTCACCACAGATCAATAGTTACACTACAGAAACAATTACAGTTAAATATCAGTGTTATCGGTTGTATGATATATGATAGTGTGAGTGTGACAAAGTGACAAATATTTCAATTATAAAATATATTGTTTGGTCCAAATCACTGATAAAATAATAATTTTTACCAAAATAATTATTATATATATATTTTTTTAATTCATTTTTATCACACTTATACATGGGTCATGTTCTACCCATGTCTGTAAACCGATGTAGTAAACCAAAAACAGTTTTAATTAAGTTAAGAAATACACATTTAAATAATGATTTGTGGTGATCAAAAACATGAATAATAATTGATATCACTTATATCTTGTCCGTTTGTGCTACTATTGTTTGCCTGAGTTTTTTCTATATTACACTTTTATCAATAACAGAATACATTTGAAATATCAATGCTTCAATTTATAGCAAACAACTACAAAGAGACACAAAAACATTACATAGAGACCAAATCAACAAAAAATAAATGCAAAACATCTGCCAAGAGACAATAAGAGACCACATAGACACACAGCGATCACAAAGAGATGCACAACTATAGAGAGATGGTTAACAACTGCAAAGAGACACAACATGACTACAAGGAGACACACAGCAACCACAGGGAGACAAAGAACACAAATATGATTACAATTCAATATCCCCCATTTTACAATAGGACATTTAAAATGTGATTTGCAAATGTTTTAACCATCCCCTTAGATTTGTCAGAATACTCTCAATTCAGTAGGCTACTTAAAAACGCAAATATATTTTAAAGACTACAATTTCCTAAGAGCCGCAGGAAAAAATAAATAATAACGCGGGATTTATACAGTCGTTGCTCATTTTTGGCAGTCTGCGGTAAGTTTTCGGCGGAGTGCGGTAAGTTTTGGCGGACTGTGGTGCATGTCCAGACTCTACAGAACGTCAACGGGTAAGACATTTATTGTATGAACGTAATATGAGCTAGATAGTAACATTAGTTGTGTTTGCAATCGGTCCATCTTGATACAGACGTTTCATGAGGAGATTTCACAGAGAAGGGTTATGTACATTTATGTTACCTGTAAATATAACTTGTTGCTAGGCTACCCACAAAAACTGTACATTTTTACATGCAATATTATAGGCTATACAAGAAATAGCTCTCCTAACACTTGACCAGCACCATATTGCACAAAATACACAGTCTAACATTCATGTTTTAAAGTCACTATCAAGAACTAGCTAACTGTGAACTTCATCCTATTGTTGCAGACATGTCGGGGATACGCAATGTCAAGAAATGTGTGGCATGCCAGGACAAGATTTTTGTTGCATGCAAGAAATGTCCTAAATGTGAGACCCAACAGCCACACAAGGACAGACTGGTTAAAGAAAGAAAAAGGTTTGCAGCTGAGGAAAAGGAGTGGAAAGAAAGAATAAATAAAAACTGCAACGGCGCACATGTCCTAGACTCCAGCTTCAAAATGGTAAGCACAAGTGGTAACACAACTTTAAATATTTTAACTTTTACTTACGTTATACACTGGACCTTTGTTGACTACATGCATCTTTAAATAGTCGGAAAGCAGCCCACTGATCGGCCCCATATTTAGTGTTTCATCAATTTAAGGCTTCTTTATTTAGTGTCCTGCTAGAGAAAGAAACACAGGCTAAAATGCTCATAAAACTTATAAAGGACTCAGAACTATTGATAATTGAAAGAGTGATATACTTCCTATTAATTTACGTTCAATCTACAGGTAAATAAAACATACTTCATCATGTTTTCTTAAAGGTCCCATGTCATGCTTTTCTGGTTATCACCCGTCCCCTTGTGTGTTATGTAGCTTTTTCTGCATGTAAAAGGTCTGCAGTCAAAAACCCTCAAAGTACACACTGTAGCGAGTACAACTCTAACACAGAAAATACCTGTCTATGCTGCCCCAGAACACCTCGTTGGACATTTCTCTTTTTCCATTGTTTTCTTCCTGGGTATGGTGACGTGCCCATTCCCAAATGGAACAATCCGTGGAGCCGTTACGTTACGTCCGCGGAGCCGTTACGTTAAGTCTGCAGATTGGTCCAAATGGACCAATCTGCAGACTTCCTCACACACACTCAATCTTTTCTCAGCTGCAGCTCCGCCGATTTCTCCTCCCTGAGACGACGGGACGCTGCGAGGCTGTGAGTCGGTGTTTGAGTACACACACAAACTCCCAGCCAGGCTGCGGGTGTGTGTGTGTGTGTTCGGGCTGGTTTCGGGCTGAGTTTAGCTGTGTCTCGCTGTCTCGCAGAAGGCCACTGGGCTCACAGGGAAGGGGGGGGGCTCCAACAAGCCGTTTTGGACAGAGAGTGACTACACATACTAACAGAGATGCTGTATGAGAAACCAATGTGAGTT